TTATAACCAAGCATAACATAAATTCTATAAACTTCATAATATTATATTATCGTATTTAACAAGTACATATATAATAAACACAGATACTTATAAACTAACTTTTATCTTAAACTGTTCTATAAGGAAAACTTGCTAATATTCAAAAAAGAAATATACATAATATTTAGGTAAATAACTGAAAACTCTAAAATTCACATGAAATTAAATTTGGTCATGCGTTTTAACAAGAAAATTCAATTTTATTATTTAATTATTTTTAAAAGCTTTTATTAAATTTGCCACATTAAATGTTTGTTCAAAAATATCTGCCACATATGCCATTACTAATTCATCTACATATATGGACTTAAACACTGACCTCACTTGATTTATTCAACAGCATGAAGTAGTATCGCACTTGCTTTGATTATGAAGCGAGCAGCAAAATAATTTTAAGCTCAAACATTACGATATACGATTTTCATCAAATCCGCAAGATGCATTTCAAAATATTTCGTTGACATAATTTATTAGAATTCTTTTATAATAAATATTTACAGCGCTGCATCATCGTGTGACATTTATTGCCATGAGCTTTATTGGAAACTTAATATACTTGACCGATTTCAATTTCCCTTATGGTCAGAAGTTGACATTTATTTTTTTCTTATAAATTTTAACTTTTTTTTTAAATATTGTGCATATTCAAAATATCATTTTAATCAATACATATTATTTATTTTATAAGAGGTAAAATTCCTCTTGATTTCTATATGTTTATTACGTTGTTCATCAATTCATTGATAAACGACTGATAATGAATTTATTACGTTAATAAATTCTTTATGTTTTTTTTATATAATATAGTAATGATAGTAACAGTAATTTAAATTTAAATTTAAATTTAAATTAAATTTATTCTAATAAAAAGGATTGTCATAACCCATTGAGTCCAAGTATAGATCATAATTTTTTCAGTAGTATTTCACAAAAATTTCTTCAAATTCTTTTGGAAAGTTTCTGAATACCTTAAACACATACAAATATACAAAATATGTTTTTTGTACACATATAAATATATTTTTTTTATTTATTATTTAAAATTTTGCATATATATGCATATATATTTTTCATTAATTTATTTATTTGTTTATTCATTTATTTATTTTTAAAATAATTTCTAAGACAGTATCATTAAATATTTATAAGAATAAAAACAGTAAAGTTCCTTCTTTAATAATATATATTGTATATATATTATTACACTATGAACTGTACGTTTGTTTGTAGTGCTAATCATAATTTTTGTTAAATTCAACTCCTAATCCTAGGCTTCCATAAGTCAATAAATAATAAGAAGCGAAGGAGAAAACTTTTTCGCAATAGTGATATATTTCAGTTATGTATATAAGGAGGTAAAAAAAAGTTAATCCATTAAATGGAATATATTTCCTCCTGTAAACATACAAATCAAATATTTGTATCTTCGATTTTTAATCTTCAGTTATATGAACACTCGTACATAACGTATGAAATTTACTAAAACTATAATATTGTGAAATCTGATATTATCTTCATATATTAGCAATAATTTGTTTTAATTCATTTCATTTTAGTTTATATATAACAACTTGAGCTCTCTTATATAATAAATATTGATTAAGTAATCATGCATTCTAACGAAGTGTGCATAGCATAGCATAAAAAATATAAAATAAAAAAATTGTATGAAAATAACTAAAGTTTTTGAAAGGAAAACTACATACTTAAAATTATATCATAATTGTGTACTGAAGTGTATCTAAGGTATGGTTCAGTTTGAATATTTTTGTAGATTAATTTTGATCCAATTAATTTTGTTTTGATATTATATAATATCGAAAAATATGAATTTACCTAATAAGCACTTCTCTTTAAATTGAATTCAATTACCATTAAATATTTTTTTTTTTTTTTTCATTTATTATGAGCACTTCAAGATGGTAAAATGCTTTTTAATTGGTAAAATATTCGAAAATAATTTCATGTTAAACTTATATTTATAAGAAATATAAGGAAGTATGAAGAAAAGCACAGCATAAAGAACATGCAAGTAATTAGAACAGATTTTTTAGGCGTAACTCAGATTTTCGCCTAGAAATATACTACTTCAATGAGTATTATGTTAACCTTAGAAAAAAGGCCAGACAAAAGGCAAGTAAATTTATGGTACATCAAGAGAAAGCACAATTTCTGTTCAAAATAGAAATAATCTGAATACTCGTAGTATAAAATAATATAAATATGTAGAAAATTAAGTAAAAATTTAAAGTATTCGCATAAAAAAAGTAAAATTAATAGGGAAAATTTTATTAT